AGTTAAGTCCGGGGCAGGGTAGGGGTTAGGTGGGGCAACTGGTGGCGAGTAACTTTTAAGGCCTGGCTAGTAGCTCAGGACTTGAAATTTTGAGCCCTGCTATATATATATCTATATACAGTATATCTATATTTCATCTGTGTATTTAGCTATTTGCTTGGAGTTTAACTTTAATGTGGAGCTAGTCACTGTAGATGCAGTTCATGTACAGAATGCTGAATACTTATATTATTTCCTGCTTTCTTTTGAATTTTTCAGAAAAATGTGACGAGCCTCTGGTAGCTGCACTTCAGCCTCAATCCTTTAAAAGTTCATCGATAATGTCTGGTATTTATGCTCCTGTATATGCAAAACTGAACAGAAGAGAAGGTATGATCATTTCTGCTTCTAATAAAATGAAATTAAAATGTACAATTGTATTTTAAACCAAATATTTTAGATTTAGTTTTGAATAACATATACTTTGAAGAACAGTTACAACATCCATCTTATTGCCGTCTACATATTTTTTGGGAGATTCAGACTTGCTTTTTTTCTTGTTGACACTCCATCATCTTGCTTGTCTCTGTTGAGCATTGGTGAGCATGGGACCCATGCTTTAATAGGTAACCTAGTGGTTGGACCGCTTTATGGGTTACTTCTAGGTGGCAGTCCAAGGCAATAATCCACCATGCATAATCAACAGACTACAGGGACCTATTCAGCAGATCATTGGTGGACCATTTCCTCATGGACCAAAGTCCAAAGGATGGCTTTACATGTTCACAGAGTGAAATCGTGTTGGAGATCATTTATCATGTACATTCTGCCACAGCAGATAAGCCCCTGTGCTGTGAGTATGGTTAAAGGAGAACTATGGGGTCAGTGTTTTTCCCCATAGTTCTCCTTAGGGTAACGGGAGGACACAAACTAGCGTCCTCCCGTCACCCTAAGCTCAGTATACCGCGAGCTACAGCTCGCGGTATACTGAGATGCCGCAGCCGGAGCGGATCCCGACTTAGATGACGGGATCCGCCCAGCTAAGTGAGTGACAGCTGGCTCTGCCTATCTAGAGACAGAGCCAGCTGTACCCCCTCCCCCGTCCGTTCCGCCAGTCAGCGTTGGCAGATAGGAGCAGGGAGAGGGGAATCCAGCCCCTCCCCCTGTCACGGCAGAGAGCCGTGACAGGATCGAGAGACGAGCGAACCCGGTATGTGTTCGCTCACCTCCCGATCTACTGAGCCGACCTGTGACAGTCTCATTGTCACAGGTAGGCTAGAACTATGAGGTGAGTGAAAAGCACTCACCTCATAGTTCTCCTTTAAGGTAAACCAATTTGCTCACCACTATTCAGAGCAATTCTATGGCTACATGTGGCCCTGTGCTGTGAGTATGGTTAAGGTAAACCAATTTGTTCACCACCATTCAGAGCAATTCTATGGCTACATGTTTATGTTGGGGTCATAATTCACTAACTACTGTTGGAAGGATAAGGATACAAGACAGACAGAAATACAGTAATCTAAGACGAATCTCAGTGGGCATGTTTTGTGAACTTTACTAAGTAAGATTAATCTCTAATTTCCTATTTGCATCACCTGTACTTCTGTTAGATGATCCAAAATGAGGTTTTTTTAATTGCTCTCCAGCATGGTGATTACCTCTATGTTGAACAATTAATCACTTTCAGTGAATATAATGGGAAGAGCGATTAGTCACTCATATTAGCACATTCTCTTCCTGTAGAACACCTTTGCAATGTAAATACTTACAGGAAACATTTACCGATGGAAGTGGCTATTACTCACTTCTGCAAATGTCAGTTGCCTGGCTTTAATGCTGCTTCCCTGGCTTCAATACTTTGAGACACTGACTCAAAGGAAATATTCCAGTTAGCCATTTTGACTTTACTCTGACTTTCCTGATCTGCATACATTTTGAGAGATCTTTTGCTTAGACAGTATTGAAGACTTTGGGTCAAAATACTAGGCAGGCAACGTGCATTTTCAGAAGGAAGTCAGAAATGGCATGCCGTGTTTCTATCAGGAAAGGTATAGATATTATGTTTTTCACCAAAGAGACCCTGTCCCTAGACCATTCATTTCAAAATAATCTTCCTATAAGAATATATGTGCGTTTAATGTATTTTAGGCATGTTATTTGTAACAGGGTTGTGTAAGCTGGTAAAGGGAAGGGTAGAGAAGCTAATCCAGTACAATCCCAGAAGGGGAGAAGACTAGACATGCAAGAAAGATGGGGTTGTGCTAGGCAAGTGACTCCCCTGAAGTTGTCATATTTGCTAACAGGTTCAGAGGTACATTGCAGTGAATACAAAATAAATTATTTATGGAAAGGAAAAATGCTGCAGGTAAGCATTTTGAAAAAACAGATTTCTCAGGATTGTACTATAGCCCACCCCTGCTTGCTGTCCTTCACTCTATATGATCCGAACAAGGCCTCAGATCACACTTTGTGGCCAATAAGAAGCTGTGCTTAAATCAAATTGGCACTAGGTCTATTCTGGGCAAAGGGCAGATCATTTATGTGTACATTGAATAATATCAAAATGAATGGGGAATCAGTAGGGATATTCAGGGTCGGTATTGATGACAATTTAGTTTAGCAGTATATATTTTACTCTGTAGATAATTTTTTTTTAAACTTATCTTTTCTTAAAAGAGAACTATGGGGTAAGTGTTTTTCCCCATAATTCTCTTAAGGGTATGGGAGAACATATACTAACATCCTCCCGTGACTGAGACCGCCGCAGCTGGGACGGATCCCGACAATGCTGTCGAGATCCACCCAGCTGCGTGAATGACAGCTGGCTCTGCCTATCTAGAGGCAGAGCCAGATGTGCCCACCCCCTCCCCCATCCGTTCCTCCACTCAGCGCTGAAGGATCGGAGCAGGGAGGGGGAATCCATGCGGGGATCGATGACTGGCAGTCACCGCTCTTTGCAGGGACATGATCGAGAAGCGAGCGACGGTATGTGTTAGCTCACTTGCCGATCTATTGAGCCGACGTGTGACACTTTCATTGTCACAGGCCGGCTCAAACTATGAGGATGTGTGATTTTTCACTCATAAAGTTCTCCTTTAAAGACAACAGCAACTCCCCAAAGTACAGCTACAGCTGTGGGATTCCTCCCAATACCTTATACTATACCTTGCTTGTACCAATACCTTTGTAATATGTGACATCTCCAGATCCTATATATGAAGTCTACAGTATAAAAAAATGACATTTAGTATGCTGTGGAAATGATCCTAAGTGTAGTTAAATGGTTGAGTTACCCCTTTGTATCCCTATTCATTTATCTGTCTATCACAGTTTTAGAACTTGTTCAGTGATGTAGATCCACGCTTTTTAAAAATAGTTTCTGTGGACTGTCAAAAGTTAAAAAGAAAAATGTCTTTTTTTTTCTAATGTCACTTTGATGCAACAAAAATGTGTTTGTAATTATCTAGCGCATCCGAAATTAATGAAAAATGAAATAGCTAAAAATCTGCAACTTAAACAATTCATTCAGCATGAACCTCACTGCATGACCCTGCGTACTTGGTACAAGTACAAGTACTAATACTATTCCAGCTCCAAAGTTAGGAGACAGCTGGCCTGCTCCTGGGATTTGTGCATCCCTGTTTTAATATATGATCTGATATATATATCAGAATCATATGGCAAAATGGTCACCCAGGACTCTGAGGGGCTGAGCAGTTCCAGGATGGAAATACTTTTACCAGGAAAGAGCTGGCTTTTCAATTCTTTCCGGATTTCCTACGTTATACCTGGGATCCTGGAACTGGGAGATTTCTAAGCGAACTGGGAGGGATGAAATCTCCATTTCTGGGTCCGGGCTTTAGTGGTGACCAGCACCGAATGATGGTGCACCTGTGCACAGCCTTTATGAACAGGAGGCTGGTTCAGGGCTCCACCTGGGAGACAGGAAAACTCCACCCAGGAGTCAGAGTGGAGTCCAATGCAGCAGGGTGCTGCGGGTTGGAAAATCCAAGTGTGCAGTTTAGCACAAGACTGAGACTGTCTGGAGGAACACACAGTGGCCTGAGGTCTGAGGCCGAAGCAGCGGTACAGAAAAAATGCAAAGCTAGGAGGCTGGATGTGCATGTGTTCCTGTGCATGAGATGCTAAAGAACCCCTGCAAGGGTAATCACATTGTTTTGAGAACTATTATTTGAATGAAAGTGGGCAAGGAAGCCCTTAAAAGAAGTCATAAGCGAGTGTATGCATCCTTAATGCACTACTATTGGAAGCTAAATCTCACAATATATATATACAGGAATGCATCAATACCATTTTTTACAGACCAAGTACAAGTACAGATACTTCTCCAAGTACTCACAGATACAATTATTGATACAATTATTGATTATTGTCATGTGACTGTTTTTCTAAAACAATACAGACTAATGATTTCAGGACAGTGGTGGAGCGCCAGGGCTCAGTCGGAGCTGTAACCGCTACAACCCTGGTAGTTCTCATGAAAATGCCAAATATCAGCACTGGTATCTGAACTGGTATCTTCGCATCCCTACATGTAATACATGTAATACACTGCTGCAATCTGGGTCCTTCACCAACTGGTCTTGTTGGTGCCCCTCTTTTTTGACATTATTACACAATTTTGGTATGGACCCTGTAAGATACCCATGAATGGACAGCCAATGGGAAGAGTCAATGTAAACACGGAGTGACTTAGGCACCTGAAGGACCTTCCATCTCTGCAGTCCAGAAGAAAGATGATCTTTGACCCAGAATGTCACTTAACCATGAATGTAGGTGTGTACAAAAACCCTTTAGGGTAGCTAAGATAAGGAAAAATCATCTTGCAAGACAAATGCATAGCTGATAGTACCTGAAACATTACTGTATTCAGGGGGGGGGCAGTCGGAGCATGTGCCCCGGGCACCGCATTGGGGGGGCGCTGCCCGGGGTTGGCTGACCACTCTGGCACTGACCATGGCCTCTATCCATAGCACGGGCAGAACTAAGAGGGTGGCAATGACCAGACCTTGCAGTTCTATCACTTCCCACTGTCAAGGTCCTTCTCTGCTGCTAGAAGGAGAGAGAGTCCGCTCTCATCATTCAGTCTCCGCCGCAGCAGCCAGCGGTGGCACATGAATTGGAGGGTGGCTGGAAGATGAAGGGCTGTGGTGCAGCAGGAAGTTTGTGGATGCTCCCTATCTGCCCCCGGGCACAGAGAGTTTGTGAATGCCCCCCCTCCCCAGGCGCAAGGAGCTTGTGAAGGCTCCCCCCCTCAAGGTGAACCCCTGGGATGCAACACTCAGCAGGTGAAAAGCACATCTGCAAGTGACTATGGTGCGTAAAATATTTATCATTAAATTGTATTTTTTTTTTTAAATTTCCAC